TTCCTTTGATTTTGTCCTTGGAGAACCACTGCAATGAACAGCAACAAGTAGGTCCACAGAATTGCACAATAGGTTTTACCCTTTTGCAAATATTCCACATGCACATCGATCCATTTGATCCAAATGAATCTGACAGTCCAGTAGTAACCTGCATGGCAGTTGTTCAAAGTTAAAGTTGAACGTAAATCATGAGTGATGGGTGAGGGGAGGGGAATTAAACTTTCCCCATCTTCTTCTCCTTCATCCTTCCCTTTAAACACCTGCCATGCTGTTTGTTTGTTTTTTTCCTCACCTTTCACTAACAATACTACAATCAACTTTCTCTTGACAAGTATGTCTGTGAAAATGTCATCTGGTGTTGGTCCCTACAGACCATTTTTCAGTCATTTTATTGTATCTAGTCTCTCTATATGCTAGACACCCCTCTAAGATGAACAGTTGGAGCTAGTCCTGATGGTGTCTGTCTTAGAGAGAGATAGCTTTACTAATAGAAGAAAATTCAGTTTGAAAACTGAATATACATGTGATTATTACCCCAGCTGTTGAGACAAATGCATCAGTTACACTCCCCAATTCTCTCCTTAAGATTATCTCTAGAAGATCACTGTAGTCACTTTTTAGCCTGGGTTTGCTAATAAACTGGGAGGCTGGCACATGTTTTCCCAAAATGCAAAATAATATTGTTCTCTTGGTTGTTTAGATGTTAATTTTAGTGCGTTGTAGTCAGCTTTTAAAGTATTTAGAAAACTTTATTCTCTGAGTAAAGCAAATCATGGTAAGAAAGTTCAGGTTTTCATTTGAAATAAAGGAATTTATGGAAATGTTTAATATTCAATTCCCAGGCAATCATGGCAGACATATTTGTCACGGAGCTTGGAGACATGCTTGCTACAAATAACCTTTCTGATGAGCTTGGCATCCAGACCCTTCCTTCTCCCAAAGATCTGAAGAAAAAAATTTTACTCAAAGGCAAAATTAAAGTGAAGAAAAAGGTATTACCAATTTTAATTATTATATCGTTTAGAAATAATAAAATATATTTTTAATGCTTCAATTAGAAACAAAATGTTATTTTTTTTATACTGAAAATAATTTTTATTTGACAATACTCTCACTGATCAGTCACAGATATCCTGTAAGCATGTACATCTTGCAACATTGTACACAACATTGCTCACAATGACTAAATTGCATCATATGCCATTCCTTGAAATTGTTGTATGCAATATTGCCTGCAACATAATATTACAGACTAAAGTAGAATTTTATGCTACTTCTGCAATAATATTGTGCACAATAATTTCAGAGGTAGACAAGAGTTAAAAATGTTGCACCATTTGTCTGAGCATTTAGTTTTTTTTGGTCAACTTGTGAGAAATGTTTGGAAAGAGGTAGTATAATACTTTTTTTTTTCAACTTTACAGCATAAGATATCAACTTCCATCTGGCCTGGAGTGACTGTCAACCCTATAGCTGTAAGTTCTTCCATTGCTGAATTACTAATAAACTTGTTAGATGAATAGGGACCTCAGGTCATATCAGTATAGACAGCGACCACTTGGAGTGATATATTTCAGTTCTAGGTGGGACATTACTCCTGTACAATCCCAAGCAGGGAAGGCTTTTGTTATGAAGAAGTCAGAGTTTGTTAAATAAGAAACGTTTTCTCACTTTTTTTGCAGCAGGAAATCAAATGCTGCCAATAACAATAACAATAACAATAACAATAACAATAACAATAACAATAACAATAACAATAACAATAACAAT